TGAGGTGGAGGTGATGCAAAGTTGACGTCAGTCACAATATAAAATTAATAAAAATATTAAGTATTAATAAAAAAAATGTCAAAAATTAATAAATAAAGTAAAAAATTAATAAATAAATAAAAGTAAAAAATTTAATAAATAAAAAAACAGAAAAATTAAAATTAAAATTAAAAAAATTGATTTTTCTATAAATATGTTGTCATTATCTTCCAACTTACACCATAATTTTATATTTTCTCAAATACTTTGGGTTTTAATTTCTTATTTAATGACACGTGGTACAACGAGACCGATTAAAAATCATATTCAAAATTACAAATAAATTTTTTTTTAATTATTTTATAAAATAAAAAATACTAATATTTTATTGTCTATTGCCATGGCTATTCAGTGTAGGGGTGGAAATGTAGAAGGTAGTTACTGTTCATTAAAACAGTTATTGTTCATTGGAGGCTATTCAATAGTGACTTATCCTAAGGGGCCTTTGCAATGGTGGAGTTGCTTTAAGGAAACCGCCAGTGCCTACAGATTAATTATTTAGTTCACTTCTACATTCTACGTACTAGAGAGCATTAGGCATACATTGTAGAGTCATTTGTAAGAGAGGGTTTCCTACATATTCTCTATAAATACAAGCTTCGAAGAAGAGGAAGGCATCCCTAATCAAATCCGTCATTCTATTTTTTCTTCAATTCTTATCTTAGCATAATGTAGCTCTAATCTAGATCATTTTTATGCAATTTACTTCCCGTACTGGTATTTTAATTCATTGATTAATACAATTTAGATTACGAAATTTCTTTAATTCCTTTGGTTTTACGCAATTTAATTCAAGCACTTCTTTACGTTACACATTTCTTTTCTCTCATTGCGTTTTCAGTTTCTTTTACTTTCAAGCACCCTTATTGTTATGCATTCGTCTTCATTTAATTTATTTTCTTGCTATTATACTAATTTTAATTTCATTTATTTTCAATTTCTTTTACTTTCTTACTCGGTCTTCACCTTCACCATTTCACATTATTTTGATTGTTCGTTCAATGCCACCTTCAAGGTAGAGAATGAACCTAGGCAGAGAAAATGTTCCTTGCTTGGCTGCATAATTGTTTGATTAGAATCAAATCCATAGGGCAAAAACAAATCACTTCACATATTTTCTACGTCAACCTATCTAATTGACGTGGTGACACACTTGTGTATTAAAACCAAAGAAGGACCCAAAATCTTTTTAGGCCAGAGCTTCGGCCGAAAATATGGAAACATTAGGCCATCTCCAACCGAAGGGTCCAGAGGGCCAGAGGGCCGAAAATAGCCCGAAAACCGTCTCCAACCGAGGGCTAGGCCAGAGGGCTATGGAATTTGAGAGAGCCCCACAGAATCGGAGAGGGCTAGAAGGCTGGCCAGAAAATAGAGCATTCATGTTGGTTATAACTGACAGGAATATATTTATATTAAAAATTAAATGTATTCTTGTCGGTTATAACCGACAGGATTGCTTAAAAAAAAAATTTAAATACAACGGCTAGTCAGCTAAAATGTACCTTTTATATCAAGTTGTTGTAGTAAAATGTACCTTTTTTATATATAAAAAATCTATTCAATTATTTTCTAATTCATTTTTAAACTTATATGGGTACATTCTTTTTCTTGATTTGAGAATGTATCCATGTCAAGTTTAATCAAAGAAATTTACTAATGTTATTAAGCCTAATATCTATTATTTTTTTTGTGGTTTCAAAGAATGTACCCATATTTTGGTACAATAATTTTTTTTTTTTTAATTTTAATGAATATGTACCCATATTTTTATAATACATACATATATACACACACACACACACACACACAATATATTGGAGAGTATAATTTATATTTTAATATTTTTAATCCACAAATTATGAGTTTTTTTATTTAAAATCTCATTAATACAAACAACTATAAATTTCAATTTTTAATTTAAAAAAATATAGTAACCTACATATAAATATATTATCACATTAATTTCAGGAACTTCGATCAAAAATTGAAAACCAACAAGGTTTCAGTCAAAGAATATTGATAGTTAGGGACCATATCCAAAGTGTCCCTTTTTTTATTTATTTATTAACAAATGATATTAAATACACTAAAGGGTGGGGAAGTAGGCTAAGTCTCATAATAGCTAGCCAAGTCATAATAATGTGGTTCAAATTCACCTTTAGTGAGAATCAAATATAAGACTTTTCACTTATAAGTGAAAAGTAATATCATTAGACCGTTGTACTAAGTGAGTTATCTAGCTATTTAGCATAGTTTACAAAATACAGAACGAGTATAGCATGTTGTGAACAATACCTACTTATATTATTTTAAAACTTTCCTAAAAACCAGTTAAATTTTGGTCATGATATGAAATTTTAAAAAAGTATTATTTAAAAATAAATAATTTTTAATGTTTTTTCATAATATGTTAAATATATGTGTTTAATGCACGAATTTTATATGTAATATTTAAAAAAATAGTGAAAAATACATGTTGTTTTTTTTTTTTTTAAGAAGAGTAAAAATTACGTGTTAAACATGAAAAGTATGTAGATACATGTATTATATGTATATAGTACGTTGAAAAACGTGTATGTTTTCATATTAATGAGAAATGTATGAAAAGGAAATTTTTTTTTTTTTTTACACAAAAGTATGTACATATAAATATAGGGTTAATTAAACCAACATCCCTTGAGATTTATCATGTTTTTACAGAACTTCTTCACTTTTGTTGAATAACACTAACACCTTCTAATGTTCTAATTTTCTTCTATAATTAATTACTTGAAAAATAAAAAACTTCCATAAATTAAAAAAAAAATTGCATTAAACATTATAAAAGACAATTACAAAACCCTGGGCATCATCTTCTTCCCTTACTATTCCAGCAGCCATCCCCAAAAGATATTGGAGTCACCAAAAGACTCATACACCTTTCTAATGGTTGTAGCCCATGCCATTCGGTATCAGCCGCACAACTCCTTTTTTCTTTTTCTGAAGAGCAGGGCAGGTGTGTTTTCTAATTAAGCTCTAAAAATGTGCAGATTTAATCCCACCGTCTCGATTATATCCGACGGCTAGAAAACATAATAGAAAAGAAAATATTAGGGTTTAATAATCTCAGTCCTTAATAACGTTTATCAAAAGAAAGGAAAACCCTATTCCTTGTTCTCCCTCAGACTGTTCTTCTAAATTTCTCGATCAAAAACCCAAAACCCTTGAGTGTGAAACCAATCAAAGTCAAAATCAAAATGCTGCCATGGGCCAAAACCACGATATCAGCCTGGGAACTTCCAGTGATTCTCTGTGCTAGTAGGATTAAAAGATATATTACGAGATAGGGTGACAAAGATGGAGCAAGATCTGGCTTATTTTTTGAGGTGTACTTTGATATTATGTTGTGTTCCTATTTTTTGTCATATGCTTTTTTAGAAATGTGGTAAAGATGATATAGTAAATTAAAGAACATTCTGAATCTCTGATATACAACTATGAGTGTTATAGAAAAACACTTTAAATTTGCCATAACACTAAATTATCATATTCTACAAACTCAGTGCAAAATCACCAAATTAAAGAACATTCTGATATACAACTATAATTTGCCATAACACCAAATAATCATATTCTACAAACTCAGTGCAAAATCACTTATAATTCAGGTTTGTTTTTTTTTTTTTTTTTTGGTGTGTAAAAGGGAGAATTTATTAAACAACCACCACAAAATTACAAGCAAAACAAGGCCCAAGAAATACCTATTAACAAACAAAACAAGGGTCTAAGAATAAATACAAACAGAAAAAAAGCCCACGAAAACAGGCCGATAACAGGGAGAAAGTAGTGGTGTTGGAAACACCGGAACTCTACACACGATCTTAATAGGAAACATGGCTGAAGATCGGACCAAGGGATAGCCGGGATGAGGAATACCTTTAGAGATCGAGGAATTGGACAGACCGGAGTTAAAATTTGGGAGAAACAATAGTAAAGGCAAGAGAAAAAAAGGAAAGGGGAGAGCAGATGACACGACAACCGACCCCAGCAGAAGTTAGGGCTGGTGCCACTGGAAAAGTTTAAGTTTAAAAGTTTCACACAAATAGTGAGAATGACTCTCAATGTGAAGAGAAAACTCTCACCTCGGAGAGAAGTTTTTTTTGTATCAATATAAACTTGTTTTGCTTTCTTATAATTCAAGTTTAAACACTTGGAAAACAACGATGGAAAACCTAAGGAATTTGAAATCTAAATAAATGAGTTCAGATACATACATTAGACTCACCTCAACTCGTGGTTCCAATGGAGACGACGCCTGCCTTCACATAGTTGGTGGCTGTTCAAGACTCGTTCATACTCCTCAACCCTCTCTGAGTCTCCACAAAGATAACGAATTGAAATTTCTCTTGGATTATAATTTTGTTTTGGATTGAAAACTAATTGATGTTGAAAATCGGAGCTACATTGAGGCACTTTCAATTATGAAATCGATTCTCTTCGAAAACAAAATGGTGTTCAAGAAAAATTATATGCCTTTACTCACATAATGTAAACATCTATACCAGGAATATTGATATACGAAAACTTATAAGTCAAACAAATTACAAAATTTTGTGTCTCCCGACACAGGAAAGAGAACTTGAGTACAACTGATTTACTACAGCAACTCTCATATCAACTATAATTGCTTAAAATTGAGTGAAACCAAAACACATAACACATTTACTTTCATACATCATGCTCTACGAATGACGTGATCAACCATCCCTATACTCCTATTCAAGTATGAAAATTTCCAAGTTCATAGTCGAAACAATGTTAGAGACGCTTATACTATAGAACGACAAATTGACAAATTAAGAGACCAAATAATAATGAATTATATGCCCAAAAAGAAATAACGAAATAAAATAAAACGACTTGGCGTTGGCGTGCCTACGAAGAGAGAGAAAATTCAACGAGTGATAGCGAGTCGACTCATCATCCTTAAAAATTTCCCCCAAAATTGAATGGACAGTTAGGTGTGGGAGATAATTTCCGAGAAGCCATCAGAGCCAAGCCAGAGAGAGAGAGAGCCAGAGTTCCTCTTCTCTCTCCAGCATTCTGATCGGTTTCCTTCTAGTGAGAGAGAGAGTGTGTGAAGGGAATTTCCATGGATCAGATTTTGAACAAGGCCGGATCCTACTGGTTCAACCAGAAGGCCACCAAGGAGCTCTCCTCCGTCGGGGATGACATCAACGTACCTCTCTCTCCCTCTCTCTCTCTCTCTCTCTATATATATATACACACACATATAACTATGGATCTCAATTTAATTTAATATGTTATTCAATTGAGCATTTGAATCTGATTTAGGTTCCAAGTAGGGTTTTTTTTCCTGTTAATAATGATTTGGGTTCACAAAGTTGATTTCTTTACACGATCTGAATTGTCTGGGTGTGACTCACTTTCGTAATCGTATTTTAGATTAAATTTTTTATTTAATTATTTTCTTCTTAAATTTGAATTGTGATTGATTCCATATATTAATTGTCAAGATTAATACTTTCCCAAATTTGGGTTCTTTTGTTCGTTTGTTTTGGTTTCGGTTTATGACGGTTTTTTCGCTAACGTTGCTTGTGGAATGATTAGTCATTGCAAAGCAGTGTCGAAGGAGGAGCCAAATGGTTGGTTAATAAACTCAAAGGTTAGTTTTCTCTGCTGGCTATGTTTGTTTACATTGCCAGTTAAAGTAACCTCACATATTGCTGTAATATGGCTGACTTTGCGAGCCCGAAAGTTTGGACATTGTAGTAGCATTAATTCATTAATTCATGTGGTTAATATGTAATACGTCTAAGTAGTGGCAATTAAAAGTGAGTGTGATTGCGGATACTGGCGAAAGTACGGGTGTGCCAGAGCTGTAGAAAGCGTTGTGGTTGAACGGTTGGGTCATATTCTTGAGATGGTTTGTTCCTTAATCTTAAAGGTGCTTGGTAGATATGAGTATAATTATATAACCCTTTTCATATGGCTTTAACTTGCTCGACTCTCAAGATGTCGTATGTGGAGTTCAAGCAAGGAACTTGCTGCTGGGGTTTCTTGAAATAGCACAATGCAAAAGAAAAATAATATGTGATATAAGTTGTATTTGTGCTGCTAGGGAGGGCAGAATGGTGCTTCGAAGTTCCAAGCTCTAGGTTTGGATTGTATAAACTGCTATGTTCAGGCTGTAGACTAGTTCTATATTCGTTCTGTCATTTATTTTTGTGTGACAGAGTCATTACTGGTGTAGTAAATTGAAAAGAATTTATTAGGATTTTAGTCCTCGTGTAGGTCTGTGTTACTTTGATAAATCTCCATTACAATTTAAGCAACCTTCGCAGGGAAAATGCAAAAGCCGTTGCCTGAGCTTCTAAAGGATTTTGACTTGGCAATAGGAATCTTTCCTCGTGATGCTACCAACTATGAGTTTAATGAGGAGACTGGGAAACTTACCGTCTACATACCGACTGTCTGTGAAGTGGGCTACAGAGATTCATCTGTTCTGCGTTTTTTCACCACTGTAACTGGATATTTGAAGAAAGGAAGGCTAGAAGACATACAGGGGATGAAGACTAAGGTGCTTATATGGGTAAATGTGTCATGCATCACATCAGAGCGATCGAAGCTCCATTTCACAGCTGGGTTGAAGAGAAGTAGGAGTAGAGAGGCTTATGAGGTTCAAAGAGACGGAATTACTGTTGAAAAGTTTTAACAAGGTCAAAATGCTCATAAGTTATTATCGTGTATTTTAGTTTGTAGATCTTTTCGACCATTTGGCTTGTATGAATTCTGGTTTAATCAACTCTTGTTTGTTTCATGTGGACGTAGAACGGTTTGATGTAGTTAATATTTCATCTTTTGTATGGTTGTAGAATGTTTCCGGGTTTTATGTATCGTATTGGGAATTTGCTTCGAACATATCAACTTAAATCATTTGTGTATCCCTCTCCAACATATTAACTAAACTAGATGGTTGGAAATGATCATTTCCCCCTTGGATTGATAATTCATATCTACATTATTATTTTTAGCACATAATCGGCAGTATATATTTATATCTGCCTGAACCGAGTTCTTCCCGGTGAAGTCATTTACACGAACAAGGGCATTCAACCGAGTTAAATATGTGCATCAGTAACTCCGATGCTGCTGCTGTAGTGTGTGAGAATCCAGAGTAAGGTTTCTGCAGAACCAACTTGCTTGATCAGTTCCTGGAACTGTCACTGCCATTGAGTTCTTGAAAGAAAGTTTTTGATGCTTCATAAGTTGACCAGCAAATTGCAGCAGCAGGGGCATGGAAGAGCATCCTTGGAATCCAACCTCGCATAAGACTGCGGTATCCATCCTTCATCACCAGGCTTCGAACAACATCCCCTATCGAGTTACTCGAAAATCTATCGCATCCGCAAACCCCCTGTGGAAAAAAAAGTGAAAGCAAGGCCTACTAAGGGAATTTGAAAGCAACAAATACAATCTTTCCAGTCCTTGCGTAGCAAGAAATTCATAGCAACTAGGACTTTATCGTAAAAAAGAATGCCATTGTGTCAGGTATCTTCAGTCAATCATGCACTTCTAAATGAGAAGATTAAGACATAAGACAATGCGTGAGTGGCATGGGTCCTGCCACAACAGATCCCCATTGTTGGTAAGTTTCGCTTCGGAACAACAAGGAACTAATTTTTTGTGGTACAAAACAGCATATTCCTTCATCCAGATTCCAAACCCAACAAAAGTCATATATACAAATTGGATCAAACATATCCATGTGCCACAAAACAAAACAAAACAAGGATATTGAAGCAACAAATTGATTGATAAAAGTTCTGACCTGGCACTGCAATTGAGTTTTCACAACATCAAGCGGGGTGGTCACAGCCGCTGCTAAAGCCCCAGCAGCCGCACCTGCAGTGGCATGAACCACCAGCCTCTCGTCGTTCGCACTCTCCGGCGACACCTCCATCAGCCCTCGTTTCGCTGCCTCATACGTAGCGAAATGGACGGCAGTAAACGGGGCATTCATCACGACAGTCGTCCTGTACGACTTGTAAAATGCTCCAACCCCTTCTTCCACTAAAACCCTCCTCACACAATCCCCAACTCCCTTGTACGGACTGCTCTGCAGCTGCAGCCTCTGTTTCACCACGTCCATCGGTGTGATCACCGCGTCGCTTGCAACGGTCGCAAACACCCCAGAAACCGCATGCGCCACGAGCTGTTGGGATTCCCACGTGTCAAATACTCCTTGAACATCTCGTACACTGAGAAATAAACTGCATGGGCAGGTCCTGCTCCGAGCCCCATTGCGCCGATGCCGCGGTAGAGCCCTGCGGGGCCTTCGAGCTTCAGAATCGAGCCGAGGGCCTGTCTAACTCCAATAGGTTGAACGGAGCAGGACCCGCCAAAAACCTGCATGCGGGTTTTGAGGGTGTCAACTGGGAACATAGCCATGTGTTCAACTAGGCCCGCTATGGAGCCGGCTATCATGAACTGCCAGAACTCTAGGCCGTCGTGGGCGGAGGAGGGGGATACCGATATTTCAGGGTGGAAGTCGTGGGGTTGAGGAACGGGTCGGAATGCGGCGGAGACATCCGTGGCCATGGCGAGTGATGTAGGACAAGATGGGGGTCAAATTTCGAGGAGAAAATTATAGAAAAAAAACCAGGGAAAGTGAGTTCGAGTATGGAAACTTTGTTCGTGCTTGTAATCCGAATGGGGTTGGAGAGTTTGAAAAATGGAGTGAATAATTGGAGTTTGGGAATCGCTTTCCGGTTGAATGTGAAATACTGGGTTGTCTCCATATGAAGAGAGAGTTTTGGTTTTTGGGTGGATTTTTGAGAGAAATAAAAGAGACTGAATGACATTTATTTACACATTAAGATCAGAAGACAATTACAGATAGAACGAAATTAACTGAGAGAGATTAATATGTGTCTAAAAAGAGTAACTGGTTTTCTGTTAACTATTGTGTTCTATGTGACCTTTAAAGTTCATTTCTTCTTTTGGTACTTTCCCATAAACTTGCAGTTTCAGTTTGCAACTTGAAGTCCTATACTAATTCAAGAATTCCACAAGCTAGTCCGGCTATGAAACAGTCTGATTGTTCGTCAATAAAGGTCTCATTGTTAACATATTATCAATAATGTTCGATTATCATCGTTATGGCATCTGCCGATAGGCTCACTCGTCATGCATTGACATTTGCGCCATGCTCGCTCAAAAGCTACTGACATTAATCGACATGCTCACTCGAAAGTTGTTGGCATGTGTCTACATGCATGAAATATGACTTGGCAAATGACCTCAGGTCTATCAAGGCTCGATGAAATGCCAATTTGCATGCTATTCCATCTAAAAAAATTTGCGCGATGCGTGCTATTCTTGCTAACCTCAAACAATATTTCCTACGTTCGACACTATGCTTATGCATTCTGGTGCATGTTCGATCCCTACCAATCCTCCTAACAACTAACAATTTAACTCATCCGCGTTATCGTTTGTAAAATAAATTATATTAGAAAGAGAGAAGTATTATTTACGAATATTCCGCATGTAAACATCACATTAACTAGTGTTTGAGTTCTGAAAGCAATTTTATAAGCTTAAGGACAAATGGTATGCCATGCTTGTGCTATCCACAAGCTTCAATCTTCGTTTGTGTCCACATGCACATAAGTCTTACCACAATCGGGTTCCATCCCTATCAAAAATTTAGCATTTCAATTCAATCCCAAAGGCCATACCCCAAAGCATAATATCTCATAAGGGAAAATCCCCTAATGGGGCTCCCATTATAACTACGATAGGAGTGCTATGTGGCACCTCCACAACCGTAGGTATTGAGATTCAATTAATTAGAGTGTTGTTATGATCACTGACCTGTTCTATTTTTCCATGCATAGTCCACTCTTGATTATTCTTTTCTTTACCATGACTTATAGGCTCTCAAGACAAAAGTTGTAAGATGTATTGTGGCTGTGAAGATGTAAAAAAGTCTACATGCATCCGTTGTATGTAACATTTTTTGTATTAATTCTCAACATCATGCGACTAGCACACAACCATAGACATGATGTAGTCATTGAATGAGAAAACTCTTCCATTGTAGAAAATGAGACATGCAGGTGTCGACATCAATCTCCACAAGGCTTCCAAAAGGGTCATCCATTCTTCCAAAATAAGATATTTTGACGTGAGAGAGCCACAAGTTTTCACATCGATCGTATATTAGCTAGACAAGCTCTTGCATAAAATTCAAGCATGCAGTCGTGTTTATTTTGCAGATTCCTTGCGTAACTGATTTGATATGCTCATTTTCTTTTCTTCTTTTCAAAAAAGGAAACCAGCTAGTGGTTTCGTCACAGTTGTCCACCTTTTTTAGGGCATAAAAGATTCACATAGGCATTTCAAGCCTCTCACTTACCACTTAGTGTGATTTACCAGGCCAAAAATCGAGGCCGTGATCATGGTGTGCTCATTTTCTGATGTTGTCCAAAAGCTTTTGGCGTCTTGGGTCGAGTTGTTATATATCAAACTCCCTGGTTAATTAGTCGCCTAGTCCATGTTTGTTGTCTTGGCTTAAACCGGGCTAATGTTCTGATCGTCGACCTGGTAAGAACTTATTAACTTGGATAGTATTTACAAATTTTGTCCATCTTCATCACCAAACGAATGAAGTATTTCTAGCATAAGAAAATGTCTTCACTAAATCAATAAAATCATGCCAGAATTGAGAAATCCCATAAACTACTCACCCTCACACGTTCACTATTTCCGTCTAACAAAAAACAAATCTCAAGAGAGAAAAGGAACCCTAATGAAGTTGTCAAAATACGTAGACACATCCATTTAGTTTGGCGATTACAGTTTTTATTTGCTTACAGGAGATTTTGAGTTCAAATCTTATATATGATTTTATAGGCGTCGTTTGATTGATGTTAAGAATTGGCTCGGCTTAGAAAATTCATTAAATACAATGAATGTTGAATAAAAATATAAATATCAACTTGCATATTTGTTTAAGTGAACGTCGAAGACAGAGAAAACATGAGAAAAACTTATCCTCCTAATTCCTCCAAAAATGGTAAGGCTGAGAGGGATAATCGTGACTTTTCCATCTTCTACCTTCACATAAAATAAAATAAAAAATGCAAGTTGATGATATTCATAATACTATTCAACATTTATTAAATCTAATAGATTATCCAACCCAAGCCAATTCTTAACATCAAACGAGCCCAAATGATTCTCGATGACCTAACCTTAAATAAGGTCTTCCAATAAGTTGATATCCTTTTCTAGTTTGTTAACGAATTACTAATAAGTTCATATGACTTAGTGTAGTCAATTGTGATTCTAAGATATTTTAGTTCTTTTAATAAATGTAGGGGTATTCAATTAGGATTTTAAGTTATTATCTGAAAATAAATGTGTATTCAATCAGGATTTTTAAATAGTTTTTTAAAATTTTTAGAAATCTGAGTGTATTAAATCATGATTTTAAACAAGTTTATAACATTCAAGTGTATTTAATTAGAAATTTATTTAAAACTTTTAAAAGTTGAGGAATTTGAGAGAATTATAAAGATTTCGTAGTATATTTTAAGCATTTACAAATCTCATTTCTCCTCCTAAGATTTCGAGATAATTGAAGTAAAATTTTACATGAAATCTTTATAAAGCAATTAAACTGTATCTAAATTTATGAATTCATAAATCCTTTCAAATTCCTCAAAATCTCAATTAAAACTAATCTAGATCATCACACTCCAATTAGCTACCGCTTTACAGTCTGGGCTTTTCGGCCCAATTCACAAATCAAGCTGTAGGGCTTAGTAAGCCCAATTAATTTCTTTCCCCTGCCAAAATCCATCCCAACAAATATAGCAAATGAGCAGCTAGCCAACTACGACTTTTCCCTTGCTTGCAAATTTGCAATCATATCATCTAGATGAAAAGTTATACTTTTCGTCCTAGAGGCGTCCAGATTCATCCATCTTCCGGATCATTTTTCTAGGAATCCGGATATTCTGTGATCATGATCGTTACATCGTGTGGTCAGTTTTCGTTAGATACTATTTATATTTAATTTTAAATTTTAAATAATTTATGATCGCATGATGTTCGATGAACGATCATGATTATAAGATCCTCCAAATCCTCATAAAACGATCCTTTTCCCATCTTTCCATCTTCATTCATGCCCAACTTTGTACGCTACAACGCTCTATTTTTCTTTTATTGATGTACATAACAATAGGAGTCCTTTAAGCGAAAGGAATCTCAATTTTTTTTTTTATGAAAACGAGAATTAGTTGTAAGATCTACACCACATTAATCTTTAGCAATTCGAATCATTTATTGTTCAAGTTGCATCTCATAGATCATACTTGCAAAATATTAGCCAAATCAAAAATATTTATGACGTCTAATTGAGTTCAAATAAATTGACGAATATTGTGTTCTATAAAAGACATTGAAATTTCATTTTGATAATTAAATATGCAAATGGTTTCAGATTGAATTGAAATTTTGTAAGGATGATCTATGAATCGAGACTTATAAAATAGATGGTTTAGATTATTGAAGTTCGATGTGGAGCCGGTCCCACAACTAATCCCCATTTTTTGAAAAAAATGAGAATCTCTTCCCAGGCTACACAACAATGATATAACGAGATGATTTGTTTTCCCACACACCTCTCAAACTCTCACACACTGCTTTTCTGTTTTTTGCAATTAGATTGAATAAATCAAATACAAATAACGGCTATAATTAAGAGAAATGCTAAAGAGACTTTCTCAAAATAAAACTCTTCATGAATCTCATCAACTTACAATTTAACATTAATGCTCACGTCAATATTTTAGAACCATAGTTTTCCAACTTTAAAATACATTTCAAAGATTTTCACCAAGAAAAAACTTTTCCAAGCTTGCCACGCTATAAAAGCAGTTTACTCGCGTACTCGCCATGGAAAACTATTTCATTTTACGAAAGTGCCCTTTACTTATATTCAGGCGACTTAAATAGCGCGAATTTCCCCTTAGGCCAGTCGAGCGAGTGAGAAACGGGAATAACAAAAAGACAAATTTGTGACCCTTCTGCGATTGCAACGTGGAACGGAAAGTACGCTAGATTCCACGACTCAAGTGGTATTTGGATAACCACCACGAGCTCGCCACACGCCCTTTCACGTGTTCGAATCGTAGCCACCCACCTATTCTCTGATCCAACGGTCCAGAATAAAGCCCATGCCAACTGGATTTCCTCCATATCCCTATATAGCCCCTCACCCCACTCTCAGCCTCTCACATTTCCTCAGCGTTCTCCAATTCCTCTGCCATTTCCAGTCCAGATTCTTGTTCAAACTCTCTTCTTTCCAATCACCCGTTCGAGATAATCCGATCGAAAACCATGTCGACGACGTCTCTGAGGGCCATTTCGACGTTTTCCGTCCCATCCAAGCTAGGGGACCAAGGCGGTGCTGTTAGCACCCTCTTGTCCAACTCAAAACTTGGATCATCCTCTTCTGCTCTGAGCTTTAAACCGCAGCGAAAACTCGAAAAGTTTGCGGTTTCTGCATCGAGCGAAGCAGTGGCGTTGACCGGAGTCGTGTTCCAGCCGTTTGAGGAGGTGAAGAACGATGCTTTTGTTGTCCCTGTGTCTCCTCAGGTCTCTCTTGCCCGTCAGCGTTACACAGATGAGTCCGAGGCCGCCATCAATGAGCAGATCAAGTGTGTATCTCTATGTGTTACAAAATTTTAATTTCATTTATTATTTTTTCGATTTTTGATGATTTTTTTTTTCATATGCTAATCCTAAATCTTGAATTTTTGTGTCGCAGTGTGGAATACAATGTTTCGTATGTGTACCATGCACTGTTTGCGTACTTTGACAGGGACAACGTTGCTCTCAAGGGCCTTGCCAAGTAAACACACTAAATTCCTAAATATCCCCGCTTAATATATAATATACTAGCCTCTTTGCACACGTGGTTTAAATTTTTATATTTTAAATTGATGTATGGTTAATTGGTTGTGATGTATCAGGTTTTTCAAGGAATCAAGCGAGGAAGAAAGAGAACATGCCGAAAAGCTGATGGAATATCAGGTATACGAGTTTTCGTGTGTGTGCGCGCGTGCGTGTTCATGTGTTAGGGTCTTGTATTGCGAAATCTGATGGTATTGCGATTTTTTTCTCAGAACAAGCGAGGTGGGAGAGTGAAACTGCACTCTGTAATCGCGGCGCCTACGGAGTTTGATCATGCAGAAAAGGGAGATGCATTGTATGGTAAGACTTCTCATTCCGTAGGCAACACAGTTATCGGCTTTGACAATTTCTTTGCTGCTGAATGATGAATTGCTGATATGTGTAATTAGAGAATGAGCATGTCTTTATCTGAAAGTTTTCTCGTTGATTCGTTGATGCAGCTATGGAGTTAGCATTGTCTTTGGAGAAGCTGACAAATGAAAAACTCTTGAACTTGCATAAGGTAACACATTTCTGCGATACAAGTTTGGATTTGAAGTCATTGATAAAGCCCGTGGGGTCTGGTTTCCGTTTGACGCTTTCTTGTCGTTTTAAATTCTCATTATTTGATCCAAAACAGGTTGCAGACCAGAACAATGATCCCCAGTTGATGGATTTTATCGAGAGCGAGTTTCTGGCTGAGCAGGTGAATTAAACACGTGTTCTGCTCTAGTACTAGGTTGAATTACTATTGTGATATTGTCATCGTTAGAGTAAAAAGCCACGATCTGTTCTTACTTTGGTTGTTAATCATTTCGATTACACTGAAAAACATTTTTCTCATCACTAACCAACTTGGACAAGAACAATCACAGCTTTTTACGCCGGACTAGTAAGAAAAACTGGTGCTTTGCAGTATTCGAACACTGACTAAAGCTTATTCGCGTATTATTTTACAGGTTGAGGCCATCAAGAAGATAGCTGACTATGTCACTCAACTGAGGAGGGTTGGAAAAGGCCATGGTATGAAGCAAATTTCACTCTTCCAACTCTTCACCATCATATTTTCCTTCCGATTCGCCTCTTATCTCAATTTCTGGACTCTATCTAACGAGCTATTTCATGGCTTGCAGGAGTGTGGCACTTTGACCAGTATCTCCTTCATGAGGGTGATGCTGCAAACTGAAAATTCACAGCGCTCTGTTTGCTCTCGTGTTTGTTTCTAATGTTTTGGAGTGCTCTCTCTCTCTAGAAATATGCATATTTATATTAAGCAAGCTGATAAGAGTGTGATCTCAGATAGGCGCCTTCGACATGTCAGAGTAGACTTACTGCATCGCAAATCGTTGGTTCGAGGGTTTCATCGCCTCCAACTTATGTAGTTAAAGATCTGTTGAGTAGTGTATACGTTCTAGTTATCCTACGAGTCTATGGCTATGTATACAAATTAAACCAAGTTCTATAATGGTTAAGTGGACCTTGTTATATGCTTTTTATTTGAAATAATCTCGTTTTGCTGTTCTGAAATTACAAAGTGTGACGCTCGAAAGACGCTAAAAATGAAAAATCAAGAGCAACTATATCATCTATGCTCACTCAAGTCTGGTATTTACATGTGACATCCTGCAGAATCAAAGCTAAGATTCATGGCTGGTTAACCAAAAGCCAAGTCTTTTGAAAAGGAAGGACACAACTTATGTGGCTGAAGACAGAATATCCAATAAGAAGACGACCTCTTCCTCCTCCTTGTAGTGTTGTTTGCATTCTGTTGACAAGAGTGAATAATCTCCCACATCACTCTTATATCTTCATATTCCCCGCAAGACTCCATGTCTTTGTACAAGCTCACCAATCCATGCCCATTTCCTGCAAATTTAAACCAAATCTCAAAAAGAGATCAATGAGCAGAGAGGTTAATCCTTACCGAAAATCCTAGTGTGTCAGTATTCTAAATCAATCACGCAACTTCTTTGAGTTTTAAGATTTTCAAATAACAACGCATAATTGGCTTGGAATACTGTCACAACCGAATTTCTGCTGTAAGGAAGTTCGAGGCAGATAGATAAGGAGAAGGGAGAGACTAACTGAAAACCTAACTCACCTTTGGATTTGTGCCTTGAATGTGAAGTAAGCTTGAGAAGGAAGCACTTAGTTGGGAGGAGGAAGGATTGCTTGAAGCAAATCCAGGTCTTCCAACCCACCATCTTGACATGGTTCCTATTCCTTCCCCCCCTCCTCTCCATTTTATATGTTGAATGTTGCACTTGAGTCCTAACTTCCCCTCACTAAAATACTAGTAACCAACTCCAAGCAAAGCCAACAAAATGCATGTAGACATAGCACTAAGCAACACTCATGAAAACAGAGTATTTTTGTTGCACTCTGATTGGATCATTCCGAAATTAAACCTGTGGCCAATCACATCAAGTAGGGAGGGATAAAATTGGCATGTTACATAATAGTTCAATTTTGTATGGCAGGTGGGATTTACCCAATTTGAGAATTTGGGTTTTGTGGTCTAACCTGAGTTAAAACAAGTGAGTGGGATTGCTTAATGACCTAAAGTGTTAATTTGGGTAAAACTCGTGTTATGTAAAAACGATTTTTGCAAAGTCTTTTTCTCTCAAGCATATTTTTGCTTGATACGATCTTTCATCTTTGAATTGAATAAAATAAAAAATAATCAAATGACATGAATAAACTTGTATGTTTAAGAATGATAATAATCAACCACTTAGTATTACGGTTTAATAGTATTCCTTTTATTTGACAGTGAGAGATCTTAGTATTTATTCTCGCCTAAGGTGAATTTGAACTACATTATTGCTAGCCTATTGTAAGGCTTAGCCTACTCCCCCACATGTTTAGTATAGATAATATCGTTTGTTTTAAAAAAAATGAACATAAACAAACTAAATTCAAAATTTTTATGATAGAAAATTTGGTAGTCGAAGCTCTTTAGAATGATGTTATTTGCACACTTATTTTTTACTTTTTATACATTATTTTTTTAATTTTCGTTAGATCAAGTGAACTGAAAAAAATCAAAAGACTGAAATTAAGCTGAAATAAGTGAAAAGTTAAAAAAGCTTGTGAGATAACACCACCCAATCTTTATTCGGAGGAAATGGACAATGAGTGGGAGAGTGTTTTTGGATTTTGCTTTTCTCATATCCTTGATTCCCAAGATTCTTAATTCAATAATAATGGAGGGAGGTCAGTGATGGGTCCCCAGTCAAAGGGTTAGTTGGATTTTCTTATACTGCCATATAGTTTGTGCTTCTACACTTCTTTTTAATTGTTATTAACTTATTATTTTTTTATTAAATTGGCCCGTTAGAGATGTGATATGTAACATACGCCATGTAGCATAAAGTTGGGTTATGTGAAAATTTATCTCGGTAACGTCATCAATTTTAGACGGAATTTTAAACAAAATGAGCTTGGTATTTTAGAGCAATTCTATCCCTAAAGATTTTGCATTAGCATCCAGCTCATTTATCCACTTAAGTGAACAGTAATAGACCATAATAAACAGTAATAGGACAAAGCATCTCCACCTCTGAAAAAAAAATAGCCTAGTCCATTTTATTAAAATATTGTTTTATTATAAAATAATAAAAAATAATAATTTTATTTTTAATTTTTGAATTTATGAAAAATAAAATAAAATTTTTATTTTCTCCTTCCCATCACCGCCATTACTGTCGAACAAAAGCGAGCCCATCATCCAGTACTCAATACTATGCTGCCTTTTGAGCCCGAAGTTCTTTGGTCACGAAGGCCAAGTTCGGGCAGTGATAGAAGTCTAGTCGATGCTCCGATGGTTCATAATTCCAACATTGAAGCGATGCGGGAGATTGTACATGTAGACCTTGAGAGGCGTGGAGGTGGTGGCGCAAAGGGACCGAACAACCGGCGGCGGCGATGAGGGGATGAGTGGGAGGAAGTAGGATCGGATGTCGACGGTGCCGATGAAGATTGAGTAGGTGAGGAGGAGGAGGAAGGCGAAGATGAGGGCGAATGCGGCTTTACCGTACATTTTGTGAGATCTGGTGTTAGGCAACTTGGCACGGAAAAAAAAAAAAAAAAAAAAAAAAAGGTGGCTGATGTCACGCTGGCGTCGGATGGGTCGGTCCCAAGGTCAGTCAAAAATGGGCTGGTCTGGAGACTGGCACGGGCTGAACGCCAGGCAAGTTTGTGGGCTAGAGTGGATTGACAGAGTCCTAGCCTAGTTTTTTGATTGGGTGTTGGGCTATTCCACCTCCGGTGGAAATGCTCTTAGCAAGCATCGTTGTAACTTTTGAAAGCTTAAAAAAAGTAAAAAAATACAAAAAATTTCAAAAGACGTCAGTGTAACTTACTCGTAAAAGTCCAAAGCCATAGATTTTACTTTGATCGTCACTTAGGCAGGTTTCGTATTATTGTGCCTTAAAAAAAACTGCTTCTGTTATGCTGTGAAAATAAGCAGTTTGGTAAACTTTTTTTGTAAAAGTACTTTTGAATAAAAAAAAAAAAAAATAGTATTATAATATTTGGTAAACTTTTATGCAAAACAGCTGTAACAATGTGAAAAGACCAAAACCAAACTTATCTATCATATTTCTTTTTATCCGTTCCCAAAACCAAGATTAATTTTATCTTTTACATTTTTTTTTCCTTTTCTCTTTTCTTTTACTTTTCTAGATCACTCTCTCCCTCTAGAATCATCTCCATTATTTTTTCCTTCCGGTCCAACTGCCTCTCTGTCTCTCTCTCTTCACTTTTTCTCTCATCACCAAATTCCATTGTTTTCGTCACTTTCTCCCTCATCATCAAATTCCATTTTTTCTCATTCATTCTCAGAAAAAGCTTCTGGATTTGTCATATGGGTTTTCGAAGCTGATGTCGTACAGCGACGATCTGGTGAAGGTGTTGAAGGACCGGAGGGACATCAACAACTTGGCGCGGTGTCTCCAGCACCGCAAGGCCCTCCGATCCTCCTGCGATTCCGATTTCAATGAAGTCCAGAACTCGCTTCGAGGTTTGTTTCCTCACTTGGGTTCTGTTTGTTTCCCGAGAAAATTTCTGACCCAGAAAATTTTCAGTTAGTTGCTTATACTTTTTTCCACTTTCAAGCAAACTAATCTGGGATTGTATAGTTTAGAAACTTACTTAGTGCACACCCGTAGAGAGCTCCACCTCAAAATGTAGGGTTCTAACCCATTTTCCGGGAAAATGTTTTCTTAAAGTGGGGGACAGAGGGGTTAGGTTCAATTTGAATTTTTTTTTTTTCTGGTTGATTCTCGTATTTCCCTTGCATAAATGTTTCTCGGAAAGAAGATATTTGGCTGGTGTTGTATGTCGATACGTGCATTGATTGATGAGTTCTTATACGAAGGTAGGATTGCCAGAAACTTTCATTAAAGCTTTTCAAAGGTTTGCGAAGAAGCTGAAAAGCCAGTTTTTCAGAGGTATCCTCAGAAGCTGAAAAGCCAGTTTTTCAAAGCTGTTTTTTTGCTGCTTCTGTTTATTGGCTTTTTTTCATTTAAAATTGTGAAAAAAAATTGAAGATGGAAGTTTACTAAACATCAAAAACTCTCCCAATTTTTTTTCGTACCAGCTTTTTTTTAAATCATCTCAACCCCAAACCATACCTTAATCCCTATTGGCACTCTAGTAGTGGTAGTGGAGTGGAGGGAGTGTGAAGGCATGTGATATGCAACCGCTTCTGGTTGGTTGTGTGTTCTTCAACTGTACTCCATCACGTCTCACCGACTGCCACCAAATAAGTCATCATCTCCCAATCATGACGTTATCTTTTGAGATTTGAGATTATATAGACTTGCAATCTTGTGTTTTTGGTACTCATTTCAGTTGTAGCAATTGATAGTTCCTATTATAGATAGGGCTTCAAGTTCGTTTTGACAATTCAATTTACAAAAGCACTTTTACAAGATGGCTATACGACAAAGTTATGTTAGCGAATTAACTGGACCTGCAAAATGTACACATTGCAAATTTGCAATGTATATGATACTAACATTAATATGATTCAAATTTGGGACATTCTTCAACCGAGCTGAGACAATTACGATCGTAACAAATGTTGGTTAGTTGAACTTAAAGAGGTTATTGGACTACATTGTAAAGCAAAAACGCTAACCTCATTTAGTCTCTCTGATTGGATTAGAATTACACAGTAAGTTATCCTTTCCAATCCAATTCTTCAGACAATACGAAGTTGTAGAGAGAGTTTGCAGCGCAAGGAATCGTATTTTTTGGTTAAAGTGTGCTGAATCGCCGCATATGGGCCTATTTTTGTTTTCCTTTCTTGGTGAACTTTGCGCTTCCTTGGTGTTGGTTTTTATTTTTAGAAAAACTAATGGAAAAGATTTAAAAACTTTAAATTTTAATAATATAGACAAAATAAAATGTAAAATGAATAGTATCAGAATTAATTTTTTAGTGTAAAAATATGATTTTTCGTTAAAGTGAACAGCACCGTGAACTTTTCGTTAAAAATCCTAACCGACAGTAACCAAGTTGTATCAAAATATAATATTGAAGACAGATGGTATCTAGTCTTGCACACCTCAAGAACTAGTGAGTTTTCCAATGCCATACTTGTATCAAATAATACAGAGAGCTTTACCAAATCATAACATACATTAACATTTAACATTTTACCACAAAAGTAACAACACCGAAATCGGAAAAAAACAGAAAACAACAATTTGGAAGGGAAAAAATAAAATACAGGCACTTCTTGTACTAGTGGGCACACATTGCCTGCTTAGTCTTTGACAATCGAGGTAATAAGAATGGAGGCCTCATCCGTTGTCGGAGCTGCATCATCTGGTCATTAGAAATTCATTCGACAATATTCTCAGTTCACAAAAGTGCTTATGAACAAAAGCAGTTTCTGTTAAATGCAATTTCAAATCAGTTAAAATGAGGACAAACAAAATACTTCAAAATTATTCTAGAGAAGAACTAACGGACCGACCTGGAAGTGATGTAGGCAAGTGAGAGACAATATTGTCAATGATGCCACCTCCACCGCCACCCTCCTCCGCCTCCTCTGCCGTCTTCATCCTCTTATTCCCAATATCCTTCTCATCTTCTTTATTCACCTCATCAACCTCTCCTCCTCCTCCTCCTCCTTCTCCGCCGCCATTACTCTGGTTAAAAAAGTTGGAGATGAGATTTGAGAAAACCCCTCCATTACCATTTTCACCACCACCCTCTTTCTCCGACTTATTAGAAAACTCCCCGTTCCCCACATCATCGACTTTAAACTCACCTTTTCTTTTTCCAGCATCCCCGCCTTTCGGAGCGCTCCTCGGGGAAACTATAGATATAAGGTGTGTTATAATCCCACCACCTCCCTTTTCTTCTTCCTCCTCAGTACCTCCGATCATGCTTTTCTTCTCTGCATCAACTTCTTTGTCCTCTCCTTGCTCGCTGTGAATGGACCCTTTTGCCGTCCCTTCACCTCCATTAACAGCTCCATGACCTTCTGTGTTGGCTCCGCCATTTGTATGGCGGAGATTCACCGGAAGCAGCAGGCTTTCAGACTCTGGTATAACATCCTCCATCTCTTTCTCTCTCGTTTTTGTTTCTTCCAAAGAAATATTCTAAAAACTTCTCTAATTTACAGAAATGGCGAATTGAAGAGCGATTCGAGCTCAGTTGCAAAGAGGAAAGCTCAAAATATCTGTCTAGGGTTTGCAGACACTTTTTCGTGTATTCTTCTTCTGTTGGGTGCACAGATGCAGCTTATGTAGAGGAGACAAGCGTCCTCGTTCCAAAGCGGTCTTTTAATGACAAAGCTATGGTTTTCCTACACGTACTCCGCTTCTCATGCAAAAGATCCAATGAGAGGTTACCTCGTGTCGAAGTTTCGGGATGGTAGCACGCATCTCAAAATGGAGTCGGTGGGGGTAACTACTCCTTGTCGGATTTGAGCACCACGATGAGACCATGGACTGCCAAGCGTTAACCCCTATGTTGTTGTTTTGTTTTTTTTTTTTTTTTTTTTTTTTTATAAGTACATCGACGTTTTTACATTAAACGTAAGAAAAATTTAACTAAATCACAAAATGAGCAGCCTAATTCGATATTAAATTCGTCATCCATAAGATTCGAACCTAAGATTTCTCACTTCCAAATGAAAAGAAATATTACGAGATCATAATACTGAATAGCACTCATATGTTATTAAATGGGTATAATTTTTCAACAACAAAAATGGATTTAATTCCTTTTTCAGTTTATCCAAGGTGAGTTTTATCCAAAAATGGGATATTTATTGTTTAGAAATGCTAAGGTTATCGATGGATTCTCTGTCTTTTAACACAATATGTTATAAGTTTAGCACATCAATTAATATTAAACTATAAAGTGACAGCGACATTAAATTATAAAGTTACAGAGAGTTCATAAAGAATTTTAGTTTTAAGAAATCTCCTTAACATTTCTCTTATATATTTATATGGGATGAGCTTTATCCAAAAATGAATATATTTGAGGTGTGTTTTGTCCAAAAATTCTGAAGTGTATCATCACATGGTATAATAATAAATACATTGAAGAATTCAACCGCTGATATGCTCTCAACAATCCAAGAAAATTCATCATAGAAACAGAATACTACTTGCAAGAATCAAAGCCCACATCACCTAGTTGCCTCCCCGACTCGACATCCCCTCCTGTTATCTCGCACGAGTCTCTGTTCCTCTGCTCGTGCGAAATAAAAAGAGGGGAATTACGAAACGGAGGCTGGTATTATCCTTTCCGAGTCAGCCCGTGAGTCATAACCTCGGTACACTTAACGAGGCAAACTCGGCGTTAGAAGTTTAGAACACAGCTAACTGTGTGCTAATCTCTCTTTAATTCTGATTTGGGTTGCAATTACAATCTCTCAACTTTGATATGTAACTATACCATATCAAATAGATAAACAGACTCTTCGCTTCCGTTTTCGTGATCGCTGAGTTAACGGAAGGATCCGCTATTTAACATGTTAAATGGTTTAATACAAAAGATCTGATACAGTTTAATACCAAATGGAAACTAGAGGATTTTGGCAGCATGAAACTAACACAGCATTTTCAAATCTAACCTTACCAGCCTCCCATGCTTTCACAAGGATATTCTCAAATAGCCGTCATCATCCCAGTCGACGCGAAGTACAAACGGATAGCACGGAAGAATATATGTTGAACACCGCAATCTGAAGGAATGACAGAAACGAAATTATCATTTGAAAGCAGATCTCATGCGTAAGTCGCCATGAAGTGAAGGTGGAATTTTTTAGTGTTACCGTTCAGTCCACAGAAGAATGACTTTTGTGAGTTAATCATCACTTTGAATTCCCAAGGCTTTTTCCTGCTCGGCTTTCATCTCTGCCTCTCTTCTTGTCTTCCGTTTGGCATCCCTTGCAGCGGCATCAGCTTGGACTTTCTCCATTATCTTATCAAAACCAGGAATTGTTCGCTCCAGTTTCTGGTAGACTCGGCTGCTTAGGTTGTCGAAAATATTATATAGTCTCTGAACACGAAAAAACCCACAATGATTTAGCGGAAGTGCTTGCACATCCCTAAGGGGAAATTATGCAAAATGTCGTAAGAGATTGAGAAACTGATATACAAATAAATCCCATAGTATGTTTTCACAAAACATCTATCCTCTTTGTATCCTTGGACTGTAGTTGTAATTACCATTCACAATACCAAAATGTAAGAAAACTTTGATACCGTAACCAACTTATTACAATTGCCAATGACAGTTTTCTTTCAGCAAGGTGTTTTATGATTATTTTCAACTACACCAATTGCCAATAAGCGTTTACTTGGAGTAAGTGTTCTACGATTAGATTTGAACACAATCATAAAACTCAAAAAAAAACTAAACTTGTAGTCAAAACTGATGTAAAAAGAAATTCTGTACCTTGACATCATTATTCCAAGCTCGAATGTATGGAGGACCTGTCGTGTACGAGCCAAGAGGTTCACGGAACCACTCTCCCTCATATGTTATCTGATCCATTGCTTGTTCCACACTTAGAACCTCCCATGGCCTTAACCCAGGTATAATTTTAGACAATTCAACCCTGGTCTCACAAGCAGACGAAGATGTTAGCGACAAGAAATATACTATGCAAGACATCAGATACCAAATGTAACATACCTAAGAGCTTTTGAAATGTATTTGTTTGGCATGTGATCCTCTTCTAGAATTGTTGTCAGTTCAGAGCCACTAGCCCAAAGAAATAAAGCATGACTAGGTGTTCGAACACCTGGCCAAACACCATCGTTAGCTTCAAGTACTGCTAAGTCGCGTCTCTTGCTTTCTACAGCCTCCTCTTGTAGCTGCTTATAGGTTTTCTTCTCACGTCCCTTGAGTGGAACCCAAGGAGGAATTCCCTTTTGTAGTTTGTGAATCAAAGCAGTTGCACCAGCCGCAAGTCTAACTGAAGTTCACCGAACCATAAGCCAAGAATCAATTTGTGGAAAATGCAGAATTAAACTAGTTATTAGACTCCTATGCACGATTCATGAATTTAAGATTGCTTCTCATACATGATAAGTTTCACATTTCCTTCAAATATTTTGTACAAATTTGACTTGCACATTAGATGACACTACATAACCACAGTTATTGGCCCCATCGCCATCATATCTCAGTGGTAATTGGATTCCAATATAAAGGCGGTGTGTATTGCGTTGCTCCTATCACCCATTATAATTTTGCTGTTAAAATAAAAAGGGATATTTAGCATACCTTCCCAAGTGGCAATAGCGGGTTCCAACCCGTACACCATGTGAATCGGAGCCCATTCATCCATGTCCTCACCCCAAATGAACGTGTCTTTATCAATAATCCCAGCACCCCAAGCCGTTTTAAGGGTTATTAGCTCCAACGGACCTCTTGTTCGACCTAACCGGTCCTTATAGTAAAATCCACCGCTCCTCATGATAACTATATCAACATAAAATCAATGCTTTGAACAAACCATGCAGATTAACAATCAATAAAACATCAAACAACCCTCTTATCCAAACAAATTCCGAATGTCAATAACGAGTTCAAACCGAAGAATCATTGCTTAACAATACAATGGAAGAATGAGACATTACTTTAACTTGAGTCAAACAGCCACATTGTGATTAAAACATTTGTAGCCAATTCTCAGATTCACCAAATAACTGCACCAAATGTTAACCGCGGCTCGAAAATCCATTTCATAAACTCACTACATTATGCAGCAATTAACGAACTTCAACCTAACATATGCAAATGCAATCACCACAAAGATTTAACTCCACAAACTTACAATCATAATACCGCTTTTCGAGCCGCTTATACCCGATTGCCTGAGCAACATCGATAGGCCGGCCGGGTGGGTAGGGGCGCTGGCGGAACCCCCAAAGCCCAAAAAAGAACTGCCTTGCAAAATCCCAGAACTTATCATCAGACTCCTGCCTCGTCTTTATCGCCTTCCTCGGCATTGGCCTCCCTTCCGGCCCAATAACATGCGGCACCGCCTGCCACAGCTTCTTATCCTCGTCCCTGTACGGCCTATCATTCTCCTTCAGCTCCACTTCATTGACCATATCCGCAATCTTCTCTGCCTGAGCCAGAAACTTCACCACCGGGCTCTCCCGGAACTCCTTCCAGAACCTCTCGTTCTCCCGGAGCTCCTCCTCCGTTGGGTTCTCCTTCTTTTCGAAAATCGGGTCTTCGTTCAGAATCTTCTCGACTTCCGGGGCGTGTCTGTAATCCGGGTCGTTCTCGCACTCCCAGAAGAACCGCTCCAGCATCTGGGTGTAGTGTCCGGGTTTTTCCGGCTCGGGGTCAGATGGGTTTTTGGGGTCGGGTTTCGGGGGGCCGTTGAAGAGGTTTGAGAGGCTAAGGGAGGAGAAATTGGGAGGGGATTGGGCCGCGGTGGTGCGGTGGAAGAAAGAGTCAGTGAGGGGGAGGAGGTTGATGAGTGGCAGGGGGTTTGGGGGTTTTTTGAACCAGCTTTCGAAGGGGTTGAAGTTGACGGAGGCCATTGTAGGAGAAGGATGTGAGAATTTGGAAAGCCTCTCAAATATTTGGGGTTTATCGTTGACAAGGTTGAAGAAATGGAGAACTTGGAGTGACAGAGAGTGTGAGAGTAAAGGGATTTTGACTGTTGAAAGTGGATATGATTCAAATTTGGGCCTGGGCTCAACATGCTCTCAACTTTGTTCCGGGCTTGGGTATTAAGATGTCGGTGAGGATTGAGGATAAGAGGCTTTTCTGATCCACATCTGAAACAAAAACCATTATATCTCATTAAGTTAAATAATTTAACAGTCGTTATTTAAATGTGTAACTTAAATGTACGCTAGAGAAAATTCAATAAGAATAATGTATCTGTTCTCTTGCCGGTATGCAATTTACGAATATCGCTTTGCGGATAAATAATTTATTAGATGACATCCTTCTTGTTTATGTTGTCACACATGCTTTTGTTTTTGTTTTGTTCATCAAAGCATCCCTCATACTTCGTTTATTATTTTATAAATTTTCCTAAGGCTTCCTCATCCCTCAATACTAATATATTGGTCTCACACTAGTGTAATAGTAGTATTATAGATATTAAACTCATACTGCATGATTTTTAAATATAAGTATCACACTCACTTAAACTACTATGGAAGGTTTAAGTGCAAACATAGAACAAGGTTGTATTTCAGAATCAATTGAGTATTTAGAAGTCACATTGTGAACCATACAACCTAAATTGATAACAGTTGTAGACTAGACTAAGAGCATCTCTAGGAGATGTAGCAACCCAATTAACAAATTGAAAAAGTCAGTAAGTCACCCTTCAAATATATACAATATGAGTTTCTACTTTTTCAATTTGGCAATTTGGGCTATACAATATATTTTAATAAAAAAATTATTATTTATTGATGAATTAAGTACCTAAAACTTTATAATTTTTTTAGTGTCATTCTAAATTGATCTCAATCTTTTTAAACATTCCAAACAAGTACTCAACCTATTGAAAATGTTACAATCGTTAATGTAAATGTTGCAATCGTTAATGTAATACCCTAAAAATTTAAAATATATGAATATGTGGAGTAAAGTGAGAATACATAGATTTATGGTTACGAAAATTTGATTAGAGAAATTCTAGATTTTTGTTTCTGGGATTTATTATAATTTACATCAAAAAATTTATCGAGAAGCGGAAAATAACGAAAATGGCCCTAGTTGGTAACGTAGTTATACGATGATGTATTTTATCCTCATATATTTTATCATATTTCTAGGCATATTTGGATAGAGCTTTACCCTACGAGCGTGTAGGCGAAAACCGTTTGTGAAACGGAACTATAACGAAGGAGTTATTAACGTTTAAAGTTAAGGATATTTTTGCAATTTAACCTTCACTCTAGAAGGCTCCAGATTTTCTGGAGCAATCTGATGGAGCCACGTGGACATTGTGGACGGTTGTGATGAAGAGTGGAGGAGAGAAAGGAGGGTCAATCGGGGGGAGAACAAGGAGGGAAATGAGAGAAGAAAAAAAAAGGGGGGGGGGAACTGGTGTTCTTCTTGACCCGACCCAGCAGCAAGCAAACCCGACGCCAATCTCAGCAAATCGCCGCCATCCATCACTTGGAAACAACTCCCTAGCCTTCCCGCTTTCATCTCCACCAAAAAACCACTTCAATTTACCCAATTTTGGGAGGAACGGAACCCATTGGTTCTGTGGGTGTTCCGGCAAGATACACCGATTCCAAAGGTCTTGACCACTATCAAACTACTCCTTTAGTGGCCAGGAACAAAGCCCAAATAAGTTTGGAGGCGTCGGAGTTCGTTTTGGGGCAAAATCAAGAACACCCATTTTAAGGGTTTCCAAAGGATCGAGGCTATTTTCAAGGGTTTTCCCCCCAAATTGGATTTCGACCTAGGTATGAAAGTTGTTCCTCTCATTGAACTCTACTTTCCTGTAAAATTTGGTAATTTTTAGAGTTCGTCGGAAAATTTGGTTTCCTTTCGCAGGAAACCGCCACATGCGGTGGCACGTGGCCAATGGGCCGACACTACCTTTTCATGTAAATTTTGATATTTTAAATCCGTAATTGGTACCATTTGATGTGATTCAATTATGAAAGCTAATGTTGAATATTTCCGTTACTAGAATATTTCGGAAATGGATAAAAGAATGAATGTGAACTACGAAATGCTTAATCCCGTTCAAGGTTACGTAGGTAGTCTAATGGGAGTTAGATGCAGCTTTAAAATAACCAAGATTAATCTTTTGTTGAAAATTTGTCTAAGAAAAGGAATTGGGTGATTAATTTAAAAGTTAACCTTATGTTTTTGGTAAATAAATTGGGTTATAGATTTTGTGAGTAACTAAGAATTAAATAAAAGAATTGTGATTAATGGTAGTAAATAAATAAAAGTTTAATTTTGGCCTTTCACCGAAATTAGTTTCCGAAATAAAATTTTCGGGTCGGGGTGTTATAGTTAAGCCCTAGTTAAATTTCTGTTAAATTAACTAGAGCTTACTTTGTCTCCAATATCAATAAAAGGTCATGGAAGCATGACCTCCAAACCCAGCACACAACCACCAACTCCACCCTGCAACTCAAGAACACTCCAAACATGAGCAAAGCAAATATGCTATAGCGGTTGGGAGTGGTCAAAAAAGGGTATCCACTTCACATCATCACCCACATGGATAACATAGAACTTCAACATGTTATCAAAGAGGCAAATCTGGTGGTAGATGCACAAGCTGACTGAGGGCATACAATAGGTTTGAAGTACTAGAAATAAAACTAGATTCATTCTTGTAGTGGTGGCCGCTATTCGATTGGGTTGTTCTTTCTCCTCTAATATCAAGATTATGATGGTGAACATCAATATCAGCATAAGTTCTTTCTCCCCTTTTATGAGTCTTCCTCGCTTATCATTTTATCAAATTTAACCCACTCTAAGACTCAATATTTTTTACACTAAGTAGGCCAATCAAAGCTTTAAAGACTAGTATAAAGGTTGGGATGGAGTTTCGGTAGTCGTAGGTTGAGCTTGGAGGTGGTGGGGGCTTGATATTACTCAATCTTCATTTTTGTTTTTCATTTTATTTGTGAATTGTTCTTTTATTTTTATTTTTTCACTTCATGTCCATGCTTGAAAGAAGTCAGTTACAAATTCTCGTACATACTATTGTAATACTAATATGGTGCATTCTAATCCTGTCTATTCAATATTTTGGGATTTATCCCTTACTAAATTGACATCAAGCCTTTGAGAATTTGAAATCTCTCAGTCCAAACATAGCTTAAAGATTGCAGAAAGTTTTCACATTAGTTCCTGAATGACATTTTAAAAGATAAATTTTCACATAAAAAGGATGGGGATTCTCTCCCCTCCTTTTTTTCCCTCCCCTCCCTCCCTTCCTTTCACAGTTTTTTCTTCTTCTTTCTCTCTACAAAGATGAAATCTCAAACATTCAAACATGAGGGGAGGAAAGCAGAGGGAAAAAAAGAAGGGAAATGATCCTTGTCCCTTTTAGAAATGCTCTTTGTTAAAGCAAGCTACCATCTCCTTTGTTTGTCTAATAGAAATGAAGAAGTTCTCGAAAAAAAGATACTTCTATTAGATTGAAATCTAGTTGGTCGCACACTACAATTTTTGTGAAGTTAAAGGGAAATCAACACAAAGAAAAGGGCAATGGACAGAGTGAAAAGAGAAGGCCAGCCAAGCTCCCCAAGTTACGGTGACTTATCCATAAAGATACGAAAAAGGACACATACTTTCAACTATTTTCAATCTTGTGCAGTTCGAGAGCACGTGAATTAGACCTGGCATTCGTGTCGTGTTGCCCGTTTTCGTGTCATACCCGATATCTTAACGGGTCGTGTCGTGTAACACCCGTTAAAATAAACGGGTAAAATGACCCGACCCGAAATCGACCCGATAATATTAACGGGTAATATGACCCGACCCGTTACCTGTTAAGGAAAATATATTTTAAACTAATAAATAATTAAATAAAAAAACATAATACTTTTTTGCGTGAAAAAAAGGTTGCAGTTGCACGCCCAAACTAATAACCCTAAACGGTCGTTGGACCCCATTCCAAAATTGGGCCATATAATTGAACAAAAAAGTACAGTACAGAGCGAGAGAGAGAGAGAGACTAGAGAAAGAAAGGGATTAGATTTATTATTTAGGGCTGCTGGGCATTTGCATTTGGGCAGTGGGCTGGCAGCCTGGGCCCTGGGCTCTCAAAGTCAGTGGGCTGGCTTTGTTAGTGGCTTTTTTTTATTTTTTTATTTTTTTTGTTTGAAGTCTTTAATAGTTTTTTAATTAATGTAGAAGTATAAAAAATATAGAAAAAATATATAAACGCTCGTAATAACAAGCTTTACAACTTTCGTGAAGAGCTTAACTTTGAAATTCGCCACTATAATCATATAAATCATAGATTAAAATTTAACCGTTGATTGTTGTTTACATTTACGCTTCATTTTTCTCATCAAATTTTGTTTTTTCAGATTTTTTTTTTTTGAAAACATGATCTATTAGAGGATGCCAAAAAATGAACGGTTTGGATCGTTGATATTATGTTCAGAGTTTTATGGTTAGTGAAAATATTGCTTGATGTTTATAAAGTTTCTACAAACTATATGACATCGACTCATATTTCAATTAACCGTAAATATCGAAACATGATATTAAAGATCTAAACCGCTCATCTTCTTACATCCGCCAGATGATCATGTTTTCAAAAAAGAAAATTAAAAAAATGAAATTCAGTAACAAGAATAAGGCGTAAATGACAATCAACGGTTAAATATAAATTTAAGGTTTATGGATTATAGTGTTGGATTTCGAAGCTGACCTCTTCATGAAAGTTGTAAAGCTTGTCATTATGAGTGATTGTATATTTTTTTTACATTTTTTACACTTCTACAATAATTATTATTAACTTTATTAATTTTTCCCTCAAATAAAAAACATTATTTATGAGGATTTGGGTCACTAGAGAAAGGGATTAGATTTATTATTTAGGGCTGCTGGGCATTTGCATTTGGGCAGTGGG